ATATAAGTTTTAAGAACAAAGGTGAAAAGTAATACAAACTAATATAGAGTAAGGGTTAGGGTTAGGAAAAAAGAAAAAGAAAGAAATCAAAGAGAGCTAAAAATGCAGGAAACAAAGAAAAAAAGAAAAGAAAAATAGAAAAGAAAGAAAAAATACAAAGTAGCTTCCAATTTTTACAGCAGTTATAAGTACAGTATAATTATAAATTTACCTCTTTCTCTAAAGTTACATCATGACTCTCTTCTTTCTATAATCTATCCTATCTAATCATCAAAACCATAAATCATAAGTTCATTTTTTTTCTGTTTTACGTAAACAGTCCATAAGGGGTTTCTAGTTAGCAATAAATGTAGATAATGTTTTTTCTCCGATCAAACAAGTCAATATGGCCATCTCAGCAAGTTCCACAATCTTCACCAACCATTCCTCCATTGTAGGTATTACCAAATGTTTCCATTTTTGTGCATACAATAATCTCACTGCACTTATCCATATACTACTAAAATTCTTTGTAACCATCAATTAGCTGAAATGGTGTATCATAGTGCAACAATTTTTGAATGAAATTAGCTAATTTAAAGAATGCGTACAGTACATTATCCAGGACCCATTACTTATTATAAATTACCCATTATAAATTTAAAGGATCTTCACACCAGTTGTATTGGCAAAGTTGTGGCCATTGCTTTGCCGCCATGGTCAGCCATGGTCACGTGATTGTGATTTCTGATGCTCCCTGCCAGCTTCCACAAACAAAGTCAATGGGGAAGCTGGCAGGAAATCAGAAATTGCTCCCACTCCCACTGCTTTTTTGTCTACCCATGGTCATTCTGTTGATCTGTTTAGATAAGTAAATATCTCTGAAATGGTGTACCAATAAGTCATAGGTTGTCTAGTTATAGACAAAAACAAAGTTCCATGACTTTTTTCCAACTGTTTGTCCATCAATCCCAAGAGAAAGAATTCTGGTCTCAATTGTATATTAAGCTTTAAAATTCTCTGAATCAGTGTATGTATTTCAATCCAAAATTTTCTAGCTTTTTTACATGTCCATGGTAAAATGACCCTTCTTGTTCACATTTCCTATATAAGTACCTTTATATATTCTACACTTGAAGTACCTTTATATATTCTACACAATTTCTCTGGTGTCATATACCAATGGTACATCATTTTATAAAAGTTCTCTTTAAGATTATAATGTAGTGTAAATTATAGTCCTTTCAACCACTTATTTTCCCATTGTTTGATCTGTATTTTATAACCAAAAATTTTAGCTCACTTTATCATACATTCTTTCACTTCCTCTGTTTCAAATTTCACATTTTAGCAAATACATGTTCATCATTTGTACATCATTCTATTTCAAAATCATTTAAAGTGTTCAATACCATAAATTCTTGTGTTTACTTTAAATCTTTCTGATAACTGTAAATAAGAAAATCATTGGCAATTATATCCCTCTGCCACCAGTTGTTCTCTTGATTTTATTTTGTAATCCCCTTGACAAAATTCTAGTATCTCACAATAAGTTAGCCATTTGTGTTTGCCTGTTATTTCTCTAGCATCTATAAAATGCTTCTTGTGCTGAGAGCCCCAAAGGTGTTTTTGGGGACAACCTGGGTTTGGATCTATCCCATATTCTCAATATGGCATGTCTAACATAATGATTTTTAAAATCCACATTAATCTTGACTTTGTCGTACCACAAATATCCATGCCACCCAAAACTCAGGTCATGTCCTTCTAACTCCAAAAGTTCTATTTCTCAGAAGCACCCACTCTTTCATCCAATCCAAACAGCAAGCTGCAAAATACAATTTCAGATCAAGTAGACCCAATCCTCCTCTTTCCTTTGGATCTTGAACATCTTACATTTAACTTGTTGTTTTTTCCCCTGCCACACAAATTTAGATATATCCTTTTACCACTGTTTAAATGGTGCATCAGTTGTCAAAACAGGTATTGTCTGAAACAAAAACATCATTCTAGGCAAGCCATTCATTTTTAGCATAGAAATTCTCCCCAGCAATGACAGTTGTAGTTTCTCCTATCTTAACATATATTCTTTAACTTTATTCCATGTTTTAACATAGTTATTTTGAAATAACATACAATTCATATTTGTCATAGTGACACCCAAATATTTTACTTTCTTCTCAATCTTAAAACCCATTTTATTCATCAATTCTATTTGATCCTCTATTTTGATGTTGTTTTTGTTAACATCTTTGTCTTCTGTTTGTTAATCTTAAAACCTGCTAATGTACCAAATTCTTTTAGTTTTCCCATAATGTTTCAATCCAGAATACCCCAAAGAAAAATAAATGCAAGAAAGCAACAGGGCTGTCTGATGAGGCTTTCTTGTTCAAAGTTTTGGAAGATATGAACTTTGGAATGGATAAAATGGATAAGATTGATTTATACTTCACAGAAAGCACATATAATTGTTAATGAAGATCTTACAAAGATCTTGTGAGATACAAAAAGGAACAAGACAGGGATGCCCACTGTCTCCTCTCTTGTTTATTTTAGTCCTTGAAATATTGAATAGAGATATAAGACAAATGAGAGGATTGAGGGAGTAAAGATTAAGAAATAAACTTATAAGTTAGGGGCTTTTGTAGATTACTTGGTTTTGGTTTTGGAAAATCCTTTAAAGGAAATTGAAACATTTAGTTGTTGTTCAGTCATTAAGTCTTTGTGACCCCATGAACTCCTTCTTGTAGTTTCAATATCATTTTCTTTTTCTTTTCATAATTTATATGCCAACCATTTCCCTGGTTTGTTTGCAAACTCAAAATTTTTTCCTTTATATAGTTCATTTTTATTTCCATTCCTCTTATTGTTAACATAGATACCTGACGTTGTAAAAGCTTAATTTGTTGAGAAATACTTATCTTCTCTAGAAATTTCTTTATTTTTTTTTCTTTTTTATTTCATCCTAAATAGCTTGTGTTTTCTCTTGCCTCTTCATTTAGAGTTCACTACTGTGTGGTATGAAATAAGCTCTGATTAAAGCTTTGCTTGTGTCCCAAACCATTCTTAAATCAGTACCTTTATCTAAATTATTTTCAAAGAATTATTTTAATTTCTTTTTACAATCCTCCACTATTGCTTCTTTCTGTAGCAACATTTTCATTTAGTCTCCATATAAAAGAACTACATTTTGTTTTATAAACCAAACTCACAGGATTATGATCCGAAAAAGTATTTGGTAATATCTCCACTTTATGAATCTTGGTAACCAAATTCTTCGAAGTCCAAATCATATCTATTTTTGCAAAGGATCTATGTCTTTCAGAAAAATGTGTATACTCTCTTCAGTTGCTATTTTTCTATCTCCATATATCAACAAGCCTTAAATTATCCATCAAATTTAAAAATTTGGCCTTCTTCAAGTCATGTGTGGCCTTTTCACAAGGCTTTGGAAGTTGGCAGGGAAAGTCGCAAGTCACTTGTGTAAGTCTCCCCCACCCAGCAGCAGCCACCCCCAGTCCCGCTGTGCTTGTGCCACAACTCGCCGCCCCCTCATATACCCTGCAGCAGCCACCCTGAGCCCTGCCATGCTTGTGCCATGCCTTGCTGGCCCCTCATGTGCCCTGCATCAGCTATCCCCAACCCACTTGTGCTCTACCAGCACTTTGTGCACCCTCCTGCACCCTGCAGCAGGCACCCCTAGCCATGCTCACACCACGCCAGCTACCCAACCTCTCCCACTTGGCAACAGCAACTTACTTGCCTACCAGCCTGCTTGCAAGCCATGTGGGACTTGCAACTTCCTGCCAGCTTCCCCAATGACTTTGCTTGTTGGAAGCCAGAAGAAAGTTGTGAGGAGGTCCTCACTTAATGATCTGTGATCCTCATTTAATGACTGAACGGGGCTGCTGGGATTGCCATCGCTAAGCAATGAGGTCACATTACATTGTACTTTACGACCACATCACTTAGCAATGGAAATTCTGGTTCCTCTTACCATCTTTAACGGAGGACTACCTGCATATGAATTCTGCAAATACTTTCCACTTTGTTAAAATACTAATAGCAAGTCAACAGCATATTCATACATTATTAAAGATTGAAAATAAAAAATGTTTCGTGTATGTTATCAGTAAACCATGTAGGAATATTCAAGCTGCACCTCAATACCCATTTTGACCCTTCCCAGAACTAACTTCTTATGAATTTTCCTATTTTTGAAGAGAGTTTGGCTTAACTGCCAATAACCTCTGGTCAAGTCCATATTGTGAATCGTGCTTTAACAAAGGCTATGCTTCCTTCATGCATTACAGTGTTTTGTATTCTACTCTTCAGTTTCCAAGATATCACACCAACTTGCACGGCACCAAATAAATCATATCTGAGCTAGTACACATAGTAAAGCTCTGCAAGAAGTATTGCTTATAATAACAAATGATGAGAGAATGACCAATAGAGCAACTGCTCCTAACAAAATACTCACTAGCTCACTACTTTTTGTTCACCAAAATAGGAGAACGAGGCCTCTTTGAAATGTGATCAGGGGTGTTACGTAGCTGGTTTGGTTTGGTCTCCACAAAGCAACTCCTAAATCATTTTCTAAGTACTAAGCAGAGGAGAACAGTGACCTAGCACATTTCACATGCCACGTACACAATTGGCAGCATGTAGACTCAGGGTCCCTGCTAAGGACAGAACAACCTGTCTGCTTGGCCTTCAGTGGAACTTTGCAGGCAGTAGGTTTAAAAGGAAAAGGGACAGTGGCCTAGCCTTCCTGAAAGCATCTGTTTTTGCCAGCCCCAAAGTGCCAGGGACTAAGCACAGAGCAGGGCACCACTCCCACTACCCAGACAGTTAAGTGGAGGAAGGAGTGAATCCTCTGTCCACTGCACAAAGCCATGTCTGAGGACACAGCTATTGCCAGCTGCTTCTTCCACTTGGCTTGTCCTACCCCTTACCTCTCAGGAACTGGATGTTGCCTTATTGCCCTGCTGTTGGCACTCTACCAATCCCGAGAAGAACATAAAAGACGGGAATAAGCAGAATTCTAATTAAGTAGGGAATTGTAAGTATTTTGTGTTATGATTCCCATTGGCAAGTCTTCTAATCACCCTCTGCACAGTTTTGTTAAGACTGACTGATCTGGCTTTGTGTGTATGAGAATATATCTGATCATTGTCTATACACTCTAGTATTTTTTATACATAGTCGTCATAGCTGCTCCTTTATCACTTGGTTTAAACATAATTCCCAGATCCTTAGCTTGTTGGCATATTGTCTTGGACTCGATTCTACCTAAATTATACCAATATGAATATTGTCTCTTCCCAAGCTGTTCTAATTCCTTCAGGACTGATCCCTCATAATTTTATACCTAGGCTTATACTTAAGGTTCCTGGAGTCATTGCCTAGAGACCGACTGTCCTTCTGGAACATATCATTTGTTATACCATTTTAGCTGGTAATCGTATTTTTTAAATGATATAATTCTGTTGTTCTTTCCAGAAAATCAAGCATTTTAATGAAGACCTCTCAAGAATTGTACAAGGAGACGAGGATATACAAGATTTAAAAGATACAAGAACAATTTCAGATATACGAAAGTCATTTGATAAATGGCAAAGTATAGTTAATGGTGTAATTAAAGGTAAGTGAGTCATTTGTGTTTGCCTATTATTTCTCATCTTTAAAATGCTTCTTGTACTGAGAGCCAAAAAGATGTTTTCGGGCACAACCTGGGTTTGTATCTATTCCATATTCACAATATGGCACATCTAACGCAATGATTTTTAGAATTCACATTAACCTTGACTTTATCATACCAGAAATATCCATGCCACCCAAATCTCAGGTCATGTCCTTCTAACTCCAAGAGCCTTCTATTTCTCAGCAGGATCCACCTTTCATCCAAACCAAACAGAAAGCTACAAAATACAATTTCAAATCAGGTAGACCCAATCCTCTTTCCTTTGCATCTTGTAACACCTTATATTTAACTTGTTGTTTTTTCCCCTGCCACACAAATTTAGATATATCCTTCTGCCACTGTTTAAATGGTGCATCAGTTGTCAAAACAGATATTGTCTGAAACAGAAACATCATTCTAGGGAAGACACTCATTCTTATCACAGAAATTCTTCCCAGCTCTGAGAGTTTATATTAACATATCTTTTTTAACATAACAATTAATGATAAAATCATTCATTCCATGTCTTAGAATATTTTGAAATAACATACAATTCATATTTGTCATATTAATATGCAGATATTTACCTTCTTCTCAATCTTAAAACCCATTTTATTCATCAATTCTGTTTGATCTTCTATTTTCATATTTTTTTGT